AAATTGATGGTTGATCATAAATAACTATGTGCAGATCCTAACCAAAGCTGCTATCTCACCCTCCAGGAGGAATGTGAAGTCCAAATACAACTGTGAAGTCCAAATACAAGTGATGAACCTGATCCTCTAGAAGGAGTGCCACCCAGCTATGCACCTATCCCAGATTAGCCTGTCTGCTGATCAACAGAACCTCCGTTTTCTATGGACCAACCCTCAGATTTCTAGCTCACATTCAACCCATCACTACATCCAGACAACAGTTCAAGACTAGGAGTATGAGTTGGAGTTTTGAATATCTTTCAGTAGCTTCATATCGATATTACAAAACACAGAACAAATTAGCCCCTGAAGAATCTGACAGAATGTTGCCCAACATACTCCTACCATCATGTTCTGATGGAGATGTAGCTCAAAAGCAAATTGTGTATTTTAACCATCATCCTGCTCTCAAGATACAGGTGGAATCTAGGGTGCTTCCAGATATATGCCACATAGCATTACCAGTCAAAAGACACTCTGCAGCTACTTTAGCTTGAGCTGTCAGTTGCTTATAGTATTATAAGGATGTGTTTTCTTTCAAATACCCTAATCCCATGTATCAGTTGTCTCCATCATTCCCTTTTTGAGGAAGATTGCAGATTGTAAATTCTACTAAATCATGGTTTAACATTTTGAGAACAAATCATGAACTTTAGGCATTAAGTTTCCTCCTTCATCCTCTAGCCCTATTACAAAGAGTAAGATGAAAGAGAGAAACTGTGGTTAGATATATCACATGGGTAGCAACTGAAAGAAGACAGGGGAGTATGGGAAGGTAGAATATCCTTTCACAGCTACATATGTAAAAAAATGGGAAACAATATGGGACTACACAAAGTACAGAAAGAACAAAGACCACAATGATCTGGGAATCCAGATTTTGATTGGTTAGATTTGTGTTGCCTGCCTGCCTGCCTGCCTGCCTGCCTGCCTGCCTGCCTATCTTATTTCTATGCCACCCATCTCACAGAAATGTGACCCTGGCTGGCATAAAATAAAAACATAAAAACAAATATAAAAAAACAATAATTACAAAAATACTCTAAAATTAAAACATTGTTGGTCACACAGTCAGCCAGATGTTTAGACTGGATTTGGCACTTTTATCCACCTATCAAGAGAGCACTGAATCCTGCGGCACACCACAAAGTAGGGCTGAAGGTGTGATCTCTCCCCCCCCCCAAATCACCACTGACTGGTATCGACCCTGAAGAACGGAAGAGAACCAGTACAGTACCATGCCGCCCACCCCCAATCCCCAGAGCTGGTCCAGAAGGATACCACGGTCGATGGTATTGAAGGCCACTGAGAGGTCAAGCAGAGCAAGGATGGATGCACAACCCCCATCCCACTCCTGCCAGAGATCATCCAAAAGCATAACCAATGCTGTTTCCATCCCATACCCAGGCCTGAATCCTGACTGAAAGGGATCCAGATAATCTGCTCCATCCAGGGTCTTCTGAAACTGCTGGGTAACCACCTTTTCCACCACCTTCCCCAAAAAGGGGAGGCTAGATATTAAATGAAAATTGTCCAGTATAGTGGGGTCCAGCAATGGTTTCTTGAGGAGAGGGCAAACTTCCCCCTGCTTAAGAGGCGGAGGAACAACTCCCTCACCCAAGGAAGAAATCACCACCGCCAGAACTCACTCACATGAACACCCCCAGGCAGCTTTAATTAGCCAGGAGGGGCATGGATCTAAACAGCAAGTGGCCAAGCTCACCATCATAAGGACCCAGTCCACTTCCTCAGGCCCAACAGGTTCAAACTGTTCCCAGATAACAGAGCAAGACTGTGCTCCAGGCACCTCCTTGGGACCTGCAACAAGGCCAGCATCCAGCTGAGAACAAATCTGAGCAATTTTATCTGACAGATGCTGAGCAAATTCTTTCACATGGCCCTGCAGTGGGGTCTCCACACCTCCTCTACCTAAGAGAGTGCATGTCATCTGAAACAGGGCCACAGGATGACTATCTGCAGATGCAATAAGGGCAGAAAAGTATTGATGCTTTGCTGCCCTTACCACAATGAGGTAGGCCTTAATAGCAGCTCTAACCCATCTTCAGTTGAGAATGTTCCTCATCATATGCCAGCAACACTCTAGATGTCTCTTCTACTGTTTCACCTCCCTCAGTTCCTCCGTAAACTATGGAGAATGGCGGGATCCACAAGAGAGGAGAATTTGCATAGGCGTGATCTGATCCAAGGCCTCAGCAGCCCTCCTGTTCCAGGTGGCAACCAAGGCCTCAGATGGACCATGCAGCAGACCAGGAGGTACAAACCCCAGTTCCCTCTGAAAATCATCTGGGTTCATCAGACGCCAAGGACGGACCAATCTAATATCCTGCCAATCCTGGCAGGATCCTCCCAGTGATAACATGGTGCTAGACCTAGCGGTACTACCAAGCCCCTCAGAGCTGAACAGGGGAATAGATATTATCACTCTTGTCACAATATGCTCAGAAATGTGCCACACCAATGAAGTTCAGTGTTATATCAGGCACTCATCTTCTCACCTCGGCCACCGAAGCTCTAGAAAATCCAAAACGATTCTTGCAAGATTTTTTTCCCACTTGGGTGGAAACCTGATCTAAACACCTTGGTCAAATCCTGAAATCCATAGGGCTGACTATGGAGGGCTGACTATGGAGGGCTGACTATGGAGAGTTGCCTGATGATTCTGCCAGCAAAGGCTATGCCAAGATACATAGTTCACAGGAACCATGTTACAAAGTGTACTTCTCCCTGAGTGGCATCAGAACTGAGTCAAAGAACTTGCTGGGGATAAAGTTTCTGCTCTTTGTATTACTCTGGCAAGCGAGGTGGCTTGGGAAACTTTTTTTTTCAGGCGTTTTGTTATAAATCATAGAAAAATAAAGTTTTGTTATTACTGTTTTAAAAATGGCTTCACTTCTCCTAATCTTCCAGGCCTTTCTAGAACGACCCATCATGAATATGAGAGACCACACAGAACCACAAAAAGAATCCTGATTTAGATCAGGGTGTATAAAGCATGCCCCAGTACTTGTTAAACTGCAGGTTAGCAGTTGAAAATCAATGAATAATTTCTCATAATTCACTTCTTCCACATCAGAGGAACATGGTATATTCCAGCAACATTAAATCTACTGGAATCCAAAGGTTCTTTATGGGGCTCAATTAAACTTTGGTGCCAGTCCCATTAAATTGGAGAGGGTTCGATCTATTTTTTTTAAGGAAACTGTTTCAGGAGCACCAAGGCTTAA